TTGTAGGCGACTTGGTCGTAAAGGTTACGACACCAATTCAGAACCAAATGAAGCGAAGTCTCTTTCTCACGAAAGTTTTCATGACGCAAGACGCTACAGGTCCATACGCAACGTGCCAATGAGTCACGATTTCAGAAGTTTGCATTGACACGCCACCAATTTTCTTCGAAGGGATTTTGAAACCTGCTTACAGAGGGAAATGCCCCATCTGTGCTATTTCCGACTTCCTTATTAAAACCCTGGCAGTCAAATTATTTTTACTAGCGTTGCAGAACTACTGGTTGCTTATCCGCTCCACCCTAATTCTTAAATCAAAGATTTCTGCATCGCTTCATGCACAGGTCATATGACACGTAACAGGAGCGTAACGCCGGTAAGCAAAACAGCTTTCAAATAAAAATTAAACGATGAATAAGAGCAAAGTTCAACTTGTAATGCGCCACCGCAAAGTATTCATTCATTCTCTTTGGTTCTTTGGGTAAAGTCACGTAGGCATGAAATAAATTAAATCACGACGTTTCGGGCGCAACACAAGCGTCCGTCATCAGGTGGGACAACCACAGCAATAAACAATTGCTGAAGTGGGCAAAAAGGGCTGCTTATTTTATACCTACGTGACTTTACCGAAAGAACCAAAGAGTATGGATCCCTGCAGTCACGAAAACTTAAAATCTAGATTATTCATTCATTCTCGAAGAGAGACACTCAGACACGCGAGGAACCACGGACAAGTGGGAAGGCATCCATAATACAGGTTTTTTTTGGAGTTAGATCGCGTAAATATATAAATGTGTCGTTAAAACCCGCCACCACCCGACACAGCCAACTAGTAAGGGTTGTCACGTAAACAGAACGTGGCCAATTCGTCACTCGTACAGCACGTTGGTGTGTTGGAGAGCCAAGCCACAACATAGGCAGTAGCAGCCAGGCGATGAGCAGGCGCCAACAATTGCCCAAGCTCTGCGGTCCTCTATATATCAATGTGTTATCGGCCAACTAATGAGTGCTTACACGTGGCAGGAAACCGGAGCACCTGGTGAAAGCCCACGCGTACGAGGGACCAAAACTCCATACCATACGGACGGAAAAGGTGGAGTCTACATTTTGCTGTACCGCCCTCTGCCGGCAAGTCAGGGTATGGTGATGCCGACGGGAAGGGAGGCAGTTGCACAATATTTGTGTGCAGTATGTACTATGATGAACCTCTCTTGCAGCGTACCAACCCTCACCTCCACAGTATTGATTCACAGGCGTGGCGCCACCACTGCCTGGCAAAATAAGCCACTGACAATACATTGCGTTAAACATTTCATTCTGAAAAGTACTTTAGTTGTTGGCCTTACGTCAGTATCCCTGTCTAACAATGACGTGCTAAGCATTGCGTTTTGGCCCTTGAGTGTAACCTTTCAGAAGCTAAAAATACACGCTCCACTTCTGAAACCTTAAAAAAAACCTGTGCTAGAGCTACGAATGGACACATGGGGTAAGTGGGGAGTGCACATTGCTATAAACCCAGTGACCTGAGTTTGATTCCTGGCCATGGCTAAGATTAGTGGATAGTGATATTTCAACGAGTCCTGGGTGATCCCAAGGTCTGCTTAGTCTTAAATGACTGCAGTTTAAACAGCACTGGGGAGACAAAGGCGATCGGGCGGGGTGCTGTAAATGCAACACACGCGTCTGCCGTGCCGGCCTTCACAGGTGCTCGCTAACAGCACTTGCCGCAGCAGTGAGTATGGCTCATCAGGACATGTTTGTCTTATTAGACGTGCAGTATAATAATTATGTGGATGTTTGGGATTTGCAATTGCATGGTGTGCAAACAGCACATGCGTCGCTTACTGGGAAATTATAAACATCCTTCACAAACATATACAAACTACAATTATTGCTAAGGAATCTGTCAGTTGAAATGTTGGCTTTTTTCCCCTAGTTCACAATAATAATTTACAGCACTTGGCTGTAAATGCCTCACCATGCGATGATGGTTTTTTAGATGTTGTTTGAACATAACTTCACCAGGGTGGTTAATGCAGGTTGGTGAACGGGGGGGTGGGGGTCAAAACTGGTTTAGATATCAATCGCGACCTATTTTAACCATGACCAGGAATTGAACTTAGGTCGTTGTGTTCAAAGACAATCCGACTACTGCTGCGCCACCACTCCTTCCTTCGCATTCTTCTTTAAGCAAAAAGTGATTTCGAATTTGTGCACAAATTCACATTTATTTCGGCACAAGAACCACAGCAACTATACTGTACCAAGTATTCCGTGACGACGAAATACTGGACTGCAAAATATAACCTCCGTGCATTTATTGCTATCTTGCTTGCAAAATAAATATATAGGATAGAGGTATATATTATACCTCTATCCTATATATTCTTTGCAAAAAAAGCCAACATATTTACACATTCCATACTTTGTTTTAGCGGGCAAAATGTGATAACGAATCATAAAAAATAAAACCCGCTTTAAAAGAATTCGCAAGCCTGCGATAAGTTGCACTTTAGCATCATTGACTGTCCTTTTTTGCGAACAAAAGTGACAAACATTGCACGTATCCTTGGTGTACTGCGATTAGCAGTGTGAAGGTCCTGTATGTCAGTCACCTTGACTTGGCAGAGGGCTTTATCAGGCATGGCAGGATCGCGAGACAAGACCTTGAATCAAGGACAAGAGGCGAGCGCCATCCACGATCCCATTGGGCTCACGACACCACGAAGGTCTGTGTATGTCTATACTGTTATCAGGAGACATTTTCTTTTGAAACTTTCTTTACCTGCGGAAAAGTTGTTGTTCGTGCACAGACATGCTTCCCACACTGCGTTTCAGGCAGCCCTGAGGAAAAAAAAAGATATCTGGAAAAATATCAGTGGCGCTGGAATGTTAACAAAAGAAAATGATACATCTTTACTTAAAGCTTTTGTGACTGCAGGAATTCATACTCTTTGGGTCTTTCGGTAAAGTCACGTAGACAGAAAAATAATAAAATAATAAAAATCGCGACGTTTCGATCGCAACACAAGCAATCGTCTTCAAGTGAAACAATACCTGCCTCAGCAGTCAGCCTGCTGTATTTTTTCACCTGAAGACGATTTTTTGTGTTGCGATCTAAACACCGTGATTTGTTATTATTTTTCGATCAACGTGACTTTACCGAAAGACCCAAAGAGTAAGAAAATGAGAAACATTAAAGTTCCACTATCTGCCATGATGCTGCCCTTCAAGATCAATAACCAGAACTGCAGCGGTGGCTTTGAACGAGGCACTTTCATCCGCGTGTACGGCTTTCCTAAAAGTGACCCTCGGTGGCTAACAGTCATGCATTGCCATTGCAGCATTCACTTAATCTCGGTCAGCCCATGGACTACATCCCATCGTGTATCTAGGTTAGTTTGTGCACTGCGTGAAGAAACCGAATCACTCACACCCACTGACCAGAATGGTGAAGTATGGTAAAATGAGCCCCAATAATCAACACGGCGTGGAAAGGCCCTCATTCGAGATGGTGTGGGGTTTGCCTTCGTCCAGTAGTGGATTGACAAAAAGCTGAAAGTTATTATTCTTCATATTGCAACGTGCCAGAGCCAGGCGTGAGAGACAACAAAACATAGTTATTTACCAGTCGGCTAGTGCCATCTCAAATGTCATGATTTGCAGTCACTATTCAAGAATAACATCCTTTATCATTTGTATGGTCTCATTTTGCATGTTATTTTGTTTTGTCTCGCTGGTTACATTACCCTAAACGTACATTTGCAAATGTCAATAGTAAAGAATCGATTATGTATGTTGAACTTCTTTCACACCGTACGTTGCCAACCATGCTAATCGGAGGTGTGATAATACACAAGAGTTGCTGTAGTGTGAGTGTAAAAAAATCAATTTAATCCATAAGTCAATGAATCATCACAGGGATAATAATCCTCACGGGAGACTCTGGTTAATTGTTGTTGCGCGGTGTTTAGCGCACTGCGCTATGGAGTATGAACTCGGTGAACCGCGCTCGATCACCAGTCACGGCTAACACCATTGATGGGCTGTATCTGAACTTGTTCTGCCACCACCCTTCATCAGCCCACACTGACCAGCAAGAGTGAGGAATGGTTAAACAACCACCCTATGACCAAAGGGCTTGGAAAGGATTTCATCGAGCAGTGGTTTGACGAGGCACTTAGTTATTATTACGTAGCATCTGCTCTAAAAACGCAAATGAGTATAAGTTGTAAGCTAGCCCATGTATACCACAGTATACAAGAATAGTAAGTACGGGCAGTCCCTGACTTACGAACAAGTTTCGTTCCTTCGATACATTCCAAACGGTTCGTAAATCGAAACAATGTGTTACGGTTCAACAAAAAAATGGAAGCAATGTTAAACTCATAATAAATGTTGTTCATTTGCAGAACCAAATAGTTCAGCGGCTCGGTTCATAAGTGCGAGTTCACGTTCGCAAGTCGAATGGTTAAAGATATCTTATGGAGGCTCGTTCCTAAGTGCAGATGTTCGTAGGACGGGCGTTTGTAAGTTAGGGACTGCCTGTATAGTAGAATGATTTGTGGTTGATATAGCGTCTTACTATCCGCCGGAGCGTCAGAGTGCTTTACATTCACATCCCATATCAACATTTGAAAAGGGACCCCCCCACCTCCCCCCAAGTTGGCAGCTGTCCCTGTGCAGCACTGGGAGGGCAGTACTTGGCCTACCAGTATTGGTGGAGTGATTGCTATGTATTATCCCAACGGGGCAGTTTGCGATGGAATTTTCGAGTTTGACCCTGATGCCGGCACACAGTGGCCTACGCTTGTGAATTACGGCCTTGAAATGACAAGGGGGAGGGGGCAAACTGTTTACAGCCTTGACAAGTTTGGCTTGGTGTGGTTCCTTGAATTAATTTCAACTGAAGACCGCAGCCTTTGTTTATGCTTAAGGGCTAACCGGATTTACATTTTTAATTCGACGGAGGGATTATTACACCGAGAAAACACAAAGACACCTTCTTTCAAGATTTGTTCATTTAAGCCCAGTTCCAGGAGCCTGGGAAACAAGACTCTTTGTTCACAATAATAACCATTTACAATACAATTTGTTTACAATAGCGTATAAATGTGACCGTGTCTAAAGACACTGTGGAGAAACCGTGAGCAAACTTGATTTTTGATAAAGGCAGTCATAGGCAGAGCGGGGAAAAGGAGGGTCTTGAACCTGGACTTGGAGCACGGGTGACTTGAGAAAGTGTTCCAGGCTATAATCAGACGTTACTTTTATTTAGCGACGCCACAAATTGATTTCAGATGCAATAAAGTTCCAGAATTCGTCTTACTATCTGCCGGAGCTGAGCATCGTGACAATAACTCACCATCTCTGTACCCACTGTTTATGCAACCACTTTTAACGTTGCCTAAAAGTTACAACACGGTGAGCTCATGCTTTTTTAGTTCACATGACATCGGTGTCATCAGATTTTTTACGAGTGTCATTAATTATAACGACCAATGGACATTAATAACAGCAACTGATAGAATAACCCAGATAAATACGAGCAAAACAAAAGTCACACAACAAGTTCACTCAACAATTGAAGATATCTCAGAGGTGGAAGTAGGAACTTCCCAAGGGGAGGGGAGTGGTCCCAACATTTTTACATCGTGCCTACTATAAATAAAAACCACAATGTATTTTTTCTGGTAAATACGGTAACCGAGATGATTTTCAGGAACATAACCCTCAGGGTTTTAAAGGAGGCTGTCACCCCCTGTGTCTGCCAATGTCGGAGGGACCCAACTGGCATAAACGAAAGGGCTTCAGTAAATTAGACTAAGCTGGTCGCTACGTCGCTGTGACGACACTACCCCTCCCTCACCCCCCCCCCCCCAGACGAGCTATTACTGCTCAGCAAGCAGTTCCCCTCTCTCCTCGCCCCGTGTTTCCCCGTCATTCGCCAGGAGGGCGGTTTTCTTCTCCAGCAGGGCTCGATGGCGCACCCGCCGCTCCTCCACACGTGCCTGCAGCGTGGCCACCTCGCCCGCCAGCAACACTGCTGTGTGTCCGCACAAAGACAAAGATGCCCCGTGAAGCCTTAACAAACTGTTGAGGCAAGTGCTGATAGCGAGCACCTATGAAGGCCGGCACGGCACATGAGGGGATGGGTGGCCAGCACCCCGCCCGGCTGCCTTTGTCAGTGGCGATGTTTTAGACACCGCACTAGGTACTCATTTGAGGCTGAGTTGACCAAGGGGAGGCCCAGGACCGGTTCAGATAATCGTCACTGGTGTTGGCCATGAGCGGGAATTGAACTTGGATCATCGGGTTAATAGCGCAGCGCGCTAACCGCGATACTTCCGCACAACATATCCCCGCACGCAAACACAGTGTAACGCACAGCACACACAAGACTCGTCATCAGACAATCAGCGGCTGGATGAAGGCCTCCCCTAAGCTGTCGCCATCTCTCAGAGTCCCAAGATCCAGCATCGGATTTCTCCAGGATAAATACAAATTCTGATTCTGAGTGTGAGCAGCTGCACGGAACTCACCATGAGAAACGATGAAGATCAGCAAAGATGGAAATCATCTGTCATGGACAACAACCCTCAGTTAAGAGGATGAGGCTAGACCATTTATTTGCGCCACATCACTGCTGAATGAATCTGCTGCCGAACCTTCTCGGAAGCTCCCCTGGGCTTGTCGCAGGTTCTGTGGCACCAGGATGCCGAACCAGCGCAGTGGGTCGCTGCTCTCCGAACCCGCCTGCTTGTCTTCCCTGGGGCATTTGTCACGAATTGATGGCTCCTCTTTGACACCGTTGCTGGGCGGTGCCTTCCTTCTACGCAGTTCTAAACAATGAGACAGACACACCTTGACTTCAATAGACATGGCCGCTGAAGAGTGGTGGTGGTGTTGGTGTTAATCGTGGTGCCGTTTCTGGTGGTGATTGTGTTAGTGATGGTATTAATGGCGGTGCTCATGGTGGTAATGGTGGTGTGGGTTTTAACGGTGGTGCTGGTGTCAATGCTGGTGCTGCTGTTGGTGGTGGTGCTCGTGGTGGCAGTATTCATGGTGGTGGTGTTGGTGTTAACGGTGGTGCTGGTGCTGGGAGAGTAGGACGCACAGGTGGTGCATCTGCCAGTCATCTGAGTCAGTCAACCCGTGGCACCTGGGTCTGCCCCGTGGCCTCCTGCCAGCGGGCGTCCGACACTTCACGTGGCCTGAACGTGCACATGGCCTGGCACAAGTGCCGTGGTGACGTCACCGCCACTTAGCGGCGAATGGCGGTTGTTGTTGTTGCTGGTGCCAATGCTAGTGCTGGTGGTGGTGGTGCTGGTCGGCAGGCTTCTACCAGGGCTCTCAGCTGCTCCAAGCTCCTCCACTTTGTGCTGCTGGTGCTCACTTGGCTCCATCGTCTGGGCCCTCGTGAGCTCCGTGAGGAACTGTAATCCGTCTCCTTCCGTCTCACTACACCGAGACAACGAGCGCCCGCACAGTATATACAGGGTGGCCCGAAAGTCAGGACACACAGGGTTATTTTATTTATTGGAACACATCCCCCATAGGGTTATTTATTTTATTTTCACAAATGTTCAAACGGACTTCCATTAACATTAATACATACGTGAATTCTCTTTTGAAATGAATTGAGGACTTTTTTTTTAAAGATTACACGGTGTAATCTTTGAACATCCATCGATTATGTTTTGGCTCAATTCATTCAGGGTTCTTGGTGGAGTTTTGTAAACGACAGTTTTGAGGGGATCCCACGGGAAAAATACATTTAGATTTTAATAATGAGAATAGATACAATGTAAACTTAAAGAATAAATCATGAAAATGTTTTAATTCCAGTATGAAAATAAATGCATTTTTATGACATTTAGGCCACCCTGTATAGCCTTTTAAAGGCTGTTGAGGCAAGTGCTGCTTGCGAGCATCTATTAAGGCCAGCACGCCACACGCCGCTCGCCGGGGTGGCATGTGTTGCAGCCGGTTCCATGGTCGGCGGCCTTTGTTCTGTCCTTCCCAGACCTTCACCAACCCGCACTGACCAGCGTGGTGAAGTATGGACATATAACCCCTATGACAAGCATGGCATCGGAAGGCCCTCACCCAGAACGAGATTGACAACAGGGCTGTAGACATATATACAGTATGTGATTATGTGATCAGCTGATGCTAAAACAGTGGGCCAGATACCGGTCTGTGATTCAGATTTTAAGATAAATTATTCCATGTCTCCATTATGGACGTTGGTATAAATCACCAAGGCAATGGTGTGTCCGTTTTGTCAAGATGGCAACCGTTTAGTGTGCACTCGCAATTTACATGGGTAGAGGTCCTCATGCAGCAGTGGATTGACAATTATGCTGTACATGTCCATGTACACCACATACAGTAACACTAATAATGCAATGTCATTGTATTGCCTGCAACTGTCAGTGTTATACCGGATTGAATATTTACACTAAACAATAGGAGCCAAACCATCGATTCTGAAAAGCTGACAAACTGGATCTCTAAAAATAACCACAAAGCCTCTTTGTACTCTGTACCTAAAAAAGGACTTTAGGTAGAGAGTACAAATACACGCAGATCCACGGTGTGACTAGAAGAGACACGCAAATATGTGCCCCATGGAAATATACCAATATTTATTTCACATGAAGCAATGTTGTGTACAGCCCTTTTGCCTATCCACTGCTGGATGACAACGGGTCGTGCGGGAGTTATTGAATGGGACTTCGCCATGCTGGTGAGTGCTGGCTTGGTGAAGATGGTGAGCATAGATGTTGGAACATAGTGCAGTACAACAAATTTTGTTGAAATGCCCCTCTGCTGACAACCTAGCCTCGCAGCAGCCTACACCACCTGTTTTACGCATGGCGATTGCCCATAGAATCGCTATCCTGGATCAACCGCCACCCCCCCTCCCCACAATTTAGAAAAAAATATTTGGCTTCTGTACTTAATTTGGCTGAATACTAGCTACGGAGATTAAAAATAAGTGATGAACGTTATGCTCTGTGGCAAGCACGTTTGAAAGTGCTGTTCTCTGCAATGTACAGGGTGGTCCAGATGAACTCGTGACCCCCATTTCATTCTCTAAAATGTATTTTTTTTTTAAAGTAAGGTTTCTTTAAAACAGAAATGAACGTGCAAAGTAACAAAAAAAAATGTTAGGGGTAAATTAATTTGGGGTCACAATACATCTGGACCACATTGCAGACCAGAGGTAGCTCTCTTGTATTCACTCCTGCTGGACGTTCTCTAAACATGAAGGGCTGCACCGCTAGAGAACGGAATATTTGCTTTGTCTCACGACGTGACCCCGATATCACAATTGAGAAACAACTGAGGAAAAAGACAGGCAATGTTTGTTTTCAGAGCAGTTGCTTTCAGGGGTATCATTAGGACAGGGGAAGGGCAGTTAGTGGCCAATCCCTCCAAACAATGGGTGACTGCCAGGAAACAGGATAAGTCGGTTTAAATTAAGACTGGTCTTTAGCAATCCCATGGCAATTTTCCTGATACAATCCGATGCCTGGCGACACACATCCGACAGAACCCAAACACGCACGTCCTTGGAATTACAAAGCACACGTAAAGTTAAAATACATTTTTTTCAGTGCTTCAGTGTAAGGAAACATGGCAATGAAAACAACGTGAAACTGCTCCAAGCGGCTCATTCCAAACCAGTCTCCCATTATGATTCTTCTGCTGGTCTCCGGGCGAAACTTGTTTTCACTTCTTTGTCTCTTTTCCCAATGTTACCCAGACTGTGCCATCGACGTCACATTACGAGAAAAAACAAATACATTCTCATCTTAAGCAGAGCAACGTAATGAAGGCCAGACGAACTCATAAGCCATTAAGGCCTCAGATCCTCATATTTTCAGGCCCTCATTTAAGGACTCCATTCTATATTGATGTAATAGCTGAGCGGCGGTAGCTGAATTACGATGACATCCTTCATGACTTTGCCACAGCTGATGCTAGGAAAACATGTTTTGTTAGTGTGAAGCAATTAGTGTAGCGAGTGATTTATGTTTGATGAATGTACCTAGCCAATTGCAATATGTACCTAGCCAATTGCAATATGTACTTAGCCAATTGCAATATGTACCTAGCCAATTGCAATATGTACCTAGCCAATTGCAATATGTACCTAGCCAATTGCAATATGTACCTAGCCAATTGCAATATGTACCTAGCCAATTGTAATATGTACCTAGCCAATTGCAATATGTACCTAGCCAATTGCAATATGTACCTAGCCAATTGCAATATGTACCTAGCCAATTGCAATATGTACCTAGCCAATTGCAATATGTACCTAGCCAATTGCAATATGTACCTAGCCAATTGCAATATGTACCTAGCCAATTGCAATATGTACCTAGCCAATTGCAATATGTACCTAGCCAATTGCAATATGTACCTAGCCAATTGCAATATGTACCTAGCCAATTGCAAAATGTACCTAGCCAATTGCAATATGTACCTAGCCAATTGCAATATGTACCCTCCTCTTAGCCTTAGGCCCCTCATAACCTCCGGCTTCGTGTGCAACCCTTTGTCTAAGAGATCATCGAATGGAAACGAATATCACACAGCAACTTTGGAGATTCTACCAAGCGACCTCTGATCCACATAGTAGGGGACAGCACTTTCCCCATCCACTCTGCCATCAAGAGTAATGTTGTTCGTCACATGACAATCAAACAGAGATATATTTTTTTATATTCCAAGCGATGAAATTCAGCCAAATTTAGTGTCAAACCAAACCTAATGCTGTGATTGTTTTGTGCAGACACCATCAACTCTCTACATATGTAATCGCAGTTGTATCACAACTCGGCCTATGCGAGTTTATTAGTCTCTATGTGAGTCTATAGGCCTCTATGTCTATCTGTAAAAGTCTAAGGGTTTCGTTGTAAGTATAATGGGCTTTCTGTGTAAATGAACAGTTAATAGGTGAGTTTAACACGTAGGCTCTTGCGACCAATATCATCCACAAGATATTTTTTTGGGTTATATCGCATAAATATATAAATATGCAAAACTAGCTACTACTGGCCAAGACTAATTAGATAATCTATCGAAATTGAAATAAATAAAAATAACTTGGACCATTTGGATAGCTACCACCTTCGTGCTGCGTGGAAGTGAATAATAAAATAATACATTATCTAAATGCATGCCTACAAAGGGCAGCGTGCTTCAATAGGGATTACCGTTGGTATGGCTATTTTAATACACATGTAGTAAATTGAGTCACTATGGCGTTCAGTGCCAGTTACTGTAACAAGAGTGGAACTGTGGGTCTTGAGCCTTCTCTGGCACCAGAGTAGGTATGACATGGGAGCGGGCCCTAGGAGGCATAGTTCTGGTGACGGTCAGAGGGAGGGAAAGTGAGGACGTGACAGTCTGGGTGAACCCGAGAGAGCACGTGACCGGGACAGGATAGCAAGGGGGCCCAAAGGGTGGCTTGAGGGACACGTGATGAGTGGCCGAGAGCCTTCTGGTGAGACCCAGAAGGGGGCGTGACCGAGGGCGGAGTGAGGCCACGCTCGGCAGCATAAAACCGAGGTCCCGAGGACAATCGCTGCTGTCTGTTGGAATGGAACCTGAGGTGCTACGTCTCTTCGAGCCTCGGTCTTCAGTCTTTACGCTCGGCATCGTGGGTCAGGCAGTGTGTTACTGACTGACCTGGTAATGTAGTTACCCCGTTGTGGTCTAGTTAACCAGTGCACGTTTATGTCGTTACCCTGTTGGGGTGTGAGAATAAACGTGTTGCCTCTAAGTTCAAGTGTGTGCCTCCGTAGAATCCACTACACACACAATAGACAGGAAATACAAGTTCAAAGGACTCGCATAATGCATAATGTACGTTGTCTCAGTAATCCCCCCCCACGTGGCGCAAAACCGCGGTCACAACATCTATGCCTCTATAAGAGGAACGAAACAGTTGGACTTCTTCACAAATCTGGCTGTCGCCTGATGAAGCTAGTTGTAATTACTGGCAAAACGTCGTACTCAGATTGTAAATGTTGTGGCTTGGCTCTTCAACACGCCGGTGTGCTGTACTAGTGACGATTCGGCATGTTCTGTTTGCATGACAACCCTTACTAGTTGGCTGTGTCGGGTGGCGGCAGGTTTTAACGACACATTTATATATTTACGCGATCTAACCCAGAAAACCTCTATTAATAGGTCACGACCATTAACTCAACACTTGAGAACCCAGTTTCACCAAAGATGGCTGAAACCAGGGATTACTCCCAGGATCTCAGTGGTGCCAGCTCAGTGCTCTGACCTCTGGGCCAGCTGGTCATCTCGGGCTGGTTTCCAGGAGCGCAACCCTAAATAGATTATGCTAATAACAAGCCCACCCATAATTAAATATGCCAGCAACATTCTATAATGTAACGTTTAATCCAAATTACTTTTAGTTATGCTTTTGATTATTCAAGGGGTTATCTGTTACTCCGTAGATACTTAGAGTTAATAATGTGATGCCAATCTCAAAACGGTTCATCGCAAAACATTTTAATATTTTATTAATATCAGGCCCCATGGTGTAAAGTTCAGTTTCCAGTGCTCATTGTCCACTTAAACTCTCTGGCCAATCGATCCACTATGAAAGAGCCATTGCCCGAAACATTGCTGATTATACATTTTACTTTTCAAGGCTACACATGGTGTTATTGAAACTAAAAACTAAACTAAAGAATTTTTATTATTAAGGCCCACTGAGCTATATAGCGCTTTTGAAGAAGCGATCAGGCCACAAATGATAGCTCAACAAAGTGCATTATCACGTGGAAATATATAGCAGCCAATAACTGTAAACATGTGTATGGACGTGTAGAGTTTTTTAAAATTCATTTCATTTGTGCTTGTGCAGCCCTACGAATGCAGCAGCAATCATCAAATAATTTGTTTCATTTTAAAAAAGTCTGGGGAGTTACTCGCTTGCGAGCTGACCTTGTGTGAACATGGGCTTGGGGCGTGATGTGATGCGGGTACTGCAGAGTCGAGACGGCTCGGCTGCCCATGGAGTAGCGAGACTTGGAGAGAGACAGCCAACCCTGACGGGAGCGACAAAGGGTGGCACTCACAGTTGACACCATTGGCACAACTAAACAAGCACAACGGGAAGATTTACGCTGCTGGAAAATACTCCCACACCCACGGGGACCCTACTTTTAGCCACACACACAGCCAGTTATGATAACATACTTTTGTACGTGCACAGCTTTGTAAACCCACTGCTGGATGAGGGTCTCCTAAGTCCGTGTGGGTTATCTGACCATACTTCACCACGGTAGTCAGTGTGTGTTCATTTGTGGGAAGCATGGACGTTGAGGTACAGGCAACAGTGGATATTGCTGCGCTGCCCCCTGCTGCCTCGGTATTACAACGACATTAATGCCCCACGAAGTCGTGCGACCACAAAGTTACAAAAGAGAAACTTCCAGGAACATAGTAAAGCCCTTCGATGTGTTTTTGGGTCGTACCGCGTGTTGTTAGCCATGCAGTCCAACTTTTCGCTCCACGTGAAGGGAGCTTATTCCGTAACTGAATGTAGCAACTCACTTTCTCAATTATCTAGCGTTGCGAGCTGCTGTTGGTGTCTGATGTGAGCCGTCTGATGTTGTGCTTACGCAACATATTCGGATAAAAAAAATATTCATGTGCGAAGGCGTTGGAGCAAAGCCCAAAGAAAACAAGATCCGATCTGGGCACTTCAACTCGTGTGCTGCCCAAAGGTGGTGTAGCAAACGAGTTGGGATCCCACAGGCCACAGAGGGGCCCAGGTGCCAGGCTACGAAGAGGGGGAGAAATTGGACAATGAGAGCTTCCCCCCCCCCCAGATTAATTCACTGCACGAGGAACCATGCCAACCATGTCATCCCACTGTTGCCCGATTGCACTCGGTGTTACTTCTGCGATAAAACTGATGGTTGCACACACAACGAATTTCAAGATATAGTAGAGTAGGATCTTGTGTCAGAGGGTATGCCACGCGACTACGTGACAATAAACCACTGGCAAAGTTAGCAATGCTGGATATGCATGCCTTAGGAATGCAGTATCAAATGAAATGTTAAGGAGTGCTTACAACTGCCATATGTGGCACCGTTCGCAGTGGGAGCGATATCAATGAATCAACGATGATGAAAACATGTTATCTCTAATTCAATTGTTAGTTTTTACAAATCTCTATATTAATTGGTTAAAGCAACTGGGTACCGAATGCCAAGCAAAAGTAACTCATCACAATTGACTGAATGTTTGGGGCTGAGCCTCATGGCAGACAGGTAACTGCTTGTGCAGGATTAAGACATTGATCATCAACTCACATGTGTGAGTGAAACCAGTTCGGAATCAATCGTGTTGGAAAAAGCAGCCCAAATAGTTTTAAACGGAGCTGTTAAAACAGAAGTTTGATGGATTATTTTCAAACGGCTGTCAGAAGAAAGTTGTACCTGATGCACTTAAGGGCCCGAACATAAACCACCAGGTAGATGTTGAAGGAGGCCAAAGCAATGCAGCCTATGATGCTACATCCCAGCCGTTGATCTTGAATTTGGGTAAAAATTAGGCGACCGGGTGGCTAAAAGGGCAAGAGCGTTGAGCTGGCACTGCTGAGATCCTGGTTTCGGATCCATCCGCCTGTGATTAAACAAGGTTCTCGAGTGTAGTGAGCGGACAGTCTCTGTCTGGTCACCAACAGCCGCACACAAAACCCTCAGTGACAAGGTGGAACTTGTTTAATGTTTGTGTGAGATGCAACATGAAGTCGTAAATTATGATGATTAAAGTTGTTTAGAAGCCGGACGTTGTTATGAATCAGGAAGCAGCCAGACAGCGAAGGAGCAAATGGGAGACGGTTGTGGGATAACACTCCAGGAGACATGTCTCACAGCAAGACAGCCCTTCACCAATGTTGCAATACCTTGAAAGATTACATTGGTTTTGTTTACGATTAAACCCTTCCACTATGTGAGATGAATACAACATTGAGGGCCTTGGGGAATGTCTGTGTTTATTTGTTGCTACATATTTGCATGTGTTTTTTAATTATTATTCTAGGCACAACGCTGCTGTGACAATCCTGATGGGGATTAATATATCTAAATGGGCTTTTAACTAAGGCTCTGTATAACTAAACGATGACGTTGATGACGTGGTCACCTGCTGGATGAGGTCATGGAGCCGTTCCCGTGTAGAGTACAGGTTCTCCAGGTCATCAAAAGTGGCCAGTGTCACCTCGTCCAGTGCCTCCCGCACCTCATTCACCTCCTTATTCATGTCCTTCATCTTCTCTTGGTAAAAAACAACAACAAAAAAACTCCCTGGGATGACCTGGTCAGTGGAGACACATTTGCAGTGCTGTACATGTGGTTGCATGGTACGGTGTCCTCAAAATACTGGGCAAATTCAGCGAGACTCAGTATATCCGTTTCCTTCACAAAACCCTGCTGCTTCCACAAAGACCAAATTCATCCCATTTGAAGCGAAATTAGCCCATAATTATCCAACACTCGCAAATTCACTCCAGTCAGAAACTGAGCAGCACATAGTCGCCTTGTTAGCACTCCTCTATCCCTACCACCTGATGATTCCTCCACAACTGTTGAGCATGCCAAACGACCAGACTGCTTTGTCTCATACATTGTGTTCAACCACCACACTGCAGGTCAAAAGCTTCTCTTTCTGCTTCTTCCCTCGTACTGCTCAAATTTATAATCCCCCCACCCCACCCACCATCGGCTCTTTTCCCCAAGCTCTTATAACCTTGGTTGTTTCAAGAAACGAGTTAACGCTCATCAGTAACAACTTTGATCGTGCTGTTTGTTGCTGACTGCTTGACCATTTGAGAATGAATATCCCGTGGGAATGGATTCAGTGGGTCCCAGTGTGATGAATTTAAGTTTCTTGTGAAGGCATTACATAGATCCCATGGCAATGAGTACATCATTAATACAGTTAATGAACGAGCTATATCCCATGTGAATCACTATGTCAACGATAATGAATGCAGTTAATGAACTAGACACCATGTGAAAGAATGAGCACATCGTAGAGAATGAATGCAGTAAATACTTTACATAAAACCCATATGAATGAGTGAACTAGATCCCATGTGAATGAGTGAACTAGATCCCATATGAACGAGTGAGTTAATCAGTGAGAGTGAATGCAGTAAATGCGTGAACTGGATCCCATGTAAATGAACTATACAGTATATTAACTAAATCCAACGTGAATGAGTACATTAATGATAATGGATACAGTATATGAATGACACAGATCCCATGTGAATGACATGAGTGAGAGTGAATGGGGTAAACGAATAAGCTAAATCCAATGTAATGGGAATGAGTGAGCATGAACGGGTCTCGGTCACCTGTGAATGAGCTAGGTCACCTGTGAATGAGTGATCGTGAATGAGTGATCGTGAATTAGCTGGGTCACCTGTGAATGGGCTGGGTCACCTGTGAATGAGCTGGGTCACCTGTGAATGAGTGATCGTGAATGAGCTGTGTCACCTGTGAATGGGCTGGGTCACCTGTGAATGAGCTGTGTCACCTGTGAACGAGTGATCGTGAATGAGCCTCGGTCACCTGTGAATGAGCTGGGTCACCTGTGAATGGGCTGGGTCACCTGTGAATGAGCTGGGTCACCTGTGAATGAGCTGGGTCACCTGTGAACAAGTGATCGTGAATGAGTCTCGGTCACCTGTGAATGAGTTGGGTCACTTGTGAATGAGCTGGGTCACCTGTGAATGGGCTGGGTCACCTGTGAATGAGCTGGGTCACCTATTAATGAGCTGGGTGACCTGTGAATGAGTGATCGTGAATGAGCTGGGTCACCTGTGAATGAGTGATCGTGAATGAGCTGGGTCACCTGTGAATGAGTCTCGGTCACCTGTGAATGAGCTGGGTCACCTGTGAATGAGCTGGGTTACCTGTGAATGGGCTGGGTCACCTGTGAATGAGCTGGGTCACCTGTGAATGAGCTGGGTCACCTGTGAACGAGTGATTGTGAATGAGTCTCGGTCACCTGTGAATGAGCTGGGTCAACAGTGAATGGGCTGGGTCACCTGTGAATGAGCTGGGTCACCTGTGAAATAGCTGGGTCACCTGTGAATGAGTGATCGTGAATGAGTCTCGGTCACCTGTGAATGAGCTGGGTCACCTGTAAATGAGCTGGGTCACCTGTGAATGAGTGATCGTGAATAAGTCTCGGTCACCTGTGAATGGGCTGGGTCACCTGTGAATGAGTCTCGGTCACCTGTGAATGAGTGATCGTGAATGAGTCTCGGTCACCTGTGAATGAGCTGGGTCACCTGTGAATGGGTTGGGTCACCTGTGAATGAGCTGGGTCACCTGTGAACGAGTGATCGTGAATGGGCTGGGTCACCTGTGAATGAGCTGGGTCACCTGTGAACGAGTGATCGTGAATGAGTCTCGGTCACCTGTGAATGAGCTGGGTCACTTGTGAATGAGCTTCGGTCACAGCTGATGCCGGAACAGAGAAACCGACGCAGCTCCTTCCCCGGGGTCCTTCCTCACCCACGTGTCGCGCGGGGCTGCCCTCGGCGCGCTGCCTGCACTAATTACCGATAAATATAAAAAACGATGCATCACAACAACGTTATACGCTTACATTTTATATTCTTTACGCAGCCGTGACAACTCATAAGCACACACTGCGCGCGATGTGCGTTCTTATTTGCTAAAAAAAAATCAATGTCAGGCACGACAATATTTTTTTGTTAAAACTTAAGACACATTTTACTCTCGTCGCGTCTATCATCGACAGACACCGAACCGTGTCCGATCGTTGACCACTTAAATAACATTTTTAACAGCGTAGCGGCAAACGTCGCCTAGCAACGCGGCGACCTCATCAGTGCGCGCGGCGTCGCTGCGTCAGAGGTCACGGCACCGGTGTGGGGGAGGGGTCAGAGGTCACGGCACCGGTGTGGGGGAGGGGTCAGTGGGACGCGTGGAGCCAACACGGTGATCTTGATCGCGGTGGCGCTGTAGGGGTCGCTCTGTGTCACCCTGCCCCTGCACCTCGTGTCACACGAGCTGCATTGCTCGGGGATTGTGAGAAATAAAGGAAGGGGCGGGTAGGAAAGCTGGGGAGAGGGTGGGGTTGGGGGTGAGAAGCCCCGAGCCGATCGGGCCGAAGCAACGAGTGAGCGGGGACGCGTCGGCGTGGGTCACTGGGTCACCCCGCGGAGACGTGGACCTTAAGCACGAGTATCGGATCATCGTCATCTGCAGCATCAGCGCCGTATATTGTCATCATTGTTCGCAGCAGCAGCAGCAGCACAAATAACAGTTACAACATCAGCAGCAGCAGCAGCAGCAGGCCAAAGCAGCAGTTGAGCCATCATCAGGAGCAGCAGCAGTGTATCAGCAGGCAAGATGCTGGTCAGGCGGCTCTGCTCGCCGTCTCTGGGGCTCGTTCGTCGCCCGGTCTCCGGGACCCGCCTCGCCCCGTGTCCGAGGGGCCCGTGGCACGGAGGCCGCGGAGGGGCGGAGAGAGCGGCGGCAGGCGGGAGGATGGACGCGGGGAGCGGGCAGCGGATGTTCGGGACGACCACCCCTTCTTTTGCCTTCGCCAGAGACTTGTTCATGGGGAAGATCAACAAGGTGCGAAGAAGCGGTTCGGGATTCCTTGGGGAACAGAGGAGGGAGAGGTAGGGGGGCTCGGGCTCCCGGTCTAAGTGCGGCCCATGTGCACACGGGGAAAGAGTGGAACCCTGAGATCGAGGCACGGAGACACAAGGACGTAGAGATAACACGGAGAGTGGCGCAGAGAATCACGGAGGCAGGCGCAGATATCGGGGAACAGAGAGAGACACCGATACACTGCAGCGTGCTTATGAAGATAGAGATACACGCAGACAGTTTTGGAGACAGTCACATCGAGAGATAAAGACAGACTCAAGGGAAATACAAAGACGTGCTTATACTGCATACAGAGTTGTATATATATAGAGTATTGCAAGTAAAGTCATATAGAGAGATACACATGCAGAGACACTGACCCCAAACTACAGACAAATACAGAGAGATTTTAAAATAGTGTTGGTAGTCGTGGTGATGTTGATGGCGATGTTGATGATGTTGTTTGCAGGAGGTGTTTCCATTCCCAGAGATCAGCAACGAGGAGCTGGAAGAGCTGAACATGCTCGTGGGGCCCGTGGAAAGGTTCTTCGACGAGCAAGGTGCCAGGGACCCACAATCGCAGCTCTTGTCAGTGCCGCTTTGGCAACAAGAGGCTCCAAGTGGCCTGGCTTTCTCCCACAAGGAAGCCATTCATCAATGGACTTGGTCAAACATCCCAGTGTAGCAGGATCCTCCTGTGAAAGTCTTGAGACTCTGCGAGTCCCACCTTTGATTTTTTTTTTTTTTTACAACACACCGAAAAATTCACGTAACGGGGTACAGAAAATCGGCAGCAGTCCATTCCGGCGCGCCGGAATCGGAATAGGGCCCACCGCCGCCCCAGCCAAGTGGGGACCTCGCGTTCGGGGACAGATTTAAATGGAGAGGGAAAACGGGGGGTGTGTGGGGGGGGGGGTAGAAATAACCAGCATACTTAGGGAAAGCCAGGGATGGCGGGGAGGGGAAGAGGGGGGAACAAAGACAAACCCTGCGAGGCCCTCCTTAATAACGGTCCCCAGTGTAATTTGTGACCTTCAACTCGGTAGGATACATGGTTGGCATGAAAATGGGACTCGTTCATTACCTGTTAGCTACATTACCCCGACACCTGCACACTCCATAGCTATGCCAATGCTCCAACTGTTTAATCACTTAAACTGCCACTCTGAAGACAGGCCATTGCCTAAAAAAATCAACCTGTTGTACATTTGTTGTGTTGTAGAGCAGTGCTATTGAATACCGTTTGAATATGTGTCTGAATGCGTTGTCAGTGGACTCAAAGCGTATAGACGCAGAGGCGCGCATCCCAGAGGAGACCCTGCGAGGACTCAAGGAGCTCGGCCTCTTTGGCCAACAGATCCCCACGGAGTTTGGTAAGAAATCGGCACCTGCTTTGATTAAAATTATTAGCAAATTTTGTTTATACCAGGTCTGGGGAAATTCTGAACTGCTGGCCAAATCCGACCTGCAACTTCATATGTCCCGTGGTGACATGAGGCCTACCACTTTAAAATGGCCTGTAAAAACGATGTCTGTCAATGCAAGCATCAATCTGGAATTTAATATTTTCAACTTGGTTTGAATTTTAATTGAACATTTTAATGTGCCAAGTCACATCTGTCACTGTGAGGGCCTCTTGCCGTGACACAACGGAGGTGTGTGTTCGTGTGTGGTTGCCCACCAAAGGTATTTGAGAGTCCTGCTCGGCCCTCAGTAACGATAGGGTACCACACCGTTGGCTTTCAAGTGTTTTTTGTGTCGTGCGATTGCCAGGCGGCCTGGGCCTCTCGAACACCATGTACGCACGGCTGGTTGAGATCACCTCACTCGACGGTTCCATTGCCGTCACACTCGCCGCACACCAGGCCATCGGCCTCAAGGTAACAGCGACTCGCCCGTTCACGAACGTCATGGAGCTGCATCCCGTCAACACAATGCACATGCAACAACCCTTATGTCAATTCGCTGGTCAACGAGGGTCCTCCCCCAAGCTGTGCAGGTCATGGGGGTAACGTGACGACACTTTGCCATGCTGGTCAGTGTGGGTTGGTGATGGTGGCGGTGGCCCAGGAACGGTTCAAGGTATCACTCGCCACTGATGTGAGCCGCGGTTCAAGAATCAAAGTAAGGGTGCCGCGTTTGTAGCGCAGCGCGCTACGCAGTGTGCTTGGTGGCATTTGTTTCTCGTTAACTAATATGTCAGTGTCGTGTCGCTTCATTGTGTGTTACACCAGGGAATTCTGCTTGTGGGCACCGATGAGCAGAAGGCGCAGTACCTGCCACGGCTCGCCACGGGAGAACACACGGCCGCTTTCTGCCTCACAGAGCCGGGCAGGTGAGGTCACACAAATGCAATGCAGCTATTAAACTACGTTATTAATTGTGTTGTTTTGGCCAGGAGGGTCACTGTTTCAAAACGGCTGTCTTGGTGTCCAAAAACCAGGATTCCTGTTTGAAAATGTTTCACTCGCGATGAGGGGACTACCTGGGTAATGCACATGGCACCCTGAATAGTGGGTGGGGATTATATGAGCAAGGAGGCCACTCGCTGTGTGGGAAGAGCTCGCAAATGAGTTTGTGTGGTTTGTAAAAGTGGGCGGGGTTGAATGAGGGGGAGGGGCCTTCAGTTCACCATGTGTTCCTGTGGAGCTTTGTAGAGATTCAGTAGCTTTACATTATTACTAAACCCTTGTCAAGCGCATTGCATCTCAGTGACCACTTTCCTTCTTGCCCAGAGTGGACCGATGAATATTCTCGTCGGTGCGGTGTATGTATATGTTTCCATCCAAACGTCTGTGTTGCCGTCTCTTCTGCCTATGACTCAATCTCATCTCTAGACTATATATATAATTTATGATGCTACCACCTACATGATTCACATGTCACGCTGTACGTCTTCTCAAGATGTAGTTGCATTTAGATCCTCTTGAAAAACCAAAATCCTATTGCAATTGTATCACCTGTGCAGTGGGAGCGATGCAGCGTCGATCCAGACGAGAGCTACGCTCAGTGAAGACGGCAAACATTACCTCCTCAGTGGCTCCAAGGTACCCAACGCGAGCCTGTGAGCACGCAACGATCAAATCACCTGGAATGGGCCACATCTCGGCAGATCTTGGAAGCAGCCACGCACCATTGAGCCTGCCATGGTGCTTGTGTGGGTCACCACCATGCACAAACAGGGCGTCATAGGGCTGGGGGGGTGGGCGGGGGGCAGCAGAGGGCAGTGCAGAATCCACTGTTGTACTGTACCTCTATGCTCCGGCGCCTATGCTACCCACCATCACCAACCCGCACTTGCCAGCGTGGTAAAACATGGTCAAATAACCCCCCTCTCCCTCCCAGTACATGCAGAGTGTCGGAAGGTACTCACTCAGTAGTGGTTTGACAAAAGGGACATGTCCATGTACAATGATTTACCTCCCCTCCAGCTGGTTGGCTGCACAAGTGATCGGCGACGAATTGAACATCATCGACCGAGCAGGGAGCCAGTGCTCAACCACCAGCAAAGGATAGCTCACCGATGAGCAGAACTCTGCCACTTATCGTGTGAGCACGGAAGCGCTGCAGATTAAACAAACTTTCCGTCAGCGCAGAGCGGAATATGTACGAGTAAATACTCTGCTATCTTTGCCACAAGACGATAAGAAACATCGTGGGAGCCGGCACACGAAGCCCTTTTGGTGTCGTTGATAACCACAAAGGGATCTGATATGCTGCCATTTTACACCACTTGGGCCATCTTTCCATTATAGAATGATTGAATGACATTTAACTTGACATCCAACACTGAGCAGAAGCAATCGGAGGCAACGTTTTTGTTGGGTCGGCACACAAGCTGCATAGATGATGTTTATAGCCATGTCCAGACTGAAGGCCACATTGGGACCGTTTGTTTTTGTTTACACGGGACGGGTGTCAAATCGGTTTGGTTTTACCCATGCAAGGATTCTTCCAGCAACAACAGATGATTGGGAAATGCCACAGTGATTGTTACAGCTTGCCTCGGCACCATTACGTTTGTCGAGATGAACGATGTTGGCATTTTTTTTATATTGCGGTACGAGCACTTGCTCCCAAACAATGTGCAAGAGCCATGCGATCTTTTTGCCATATAATAGCCGCTATGATGATGCAATTCCAGCAGAGATACATAAGCAGCGATTGGCCGTATGTGTAAGTCCGAGGGGTGCTTTGCACTTTAGGTACATCGGTATGTTCAGAAACGACATAGCAATGTCCCTAAAAATGGAACAATAGTGAAAATTATACAAAAGAGCATGTAGATATTTATGCTGAGAACCAAATTTAATTGACATCATATTCACTGGAATGTATTATGTTGAACTTCTTTCGCACCGTACATAGCTAACCGTGCTAAACGGAGGTGTGGTGTGGACAACAAATTCAACACAAAAAGTATTTCTAAAGACATGAGTTTTCAATTTAGATTTAAAAGTGCATAAAAGGAAGCAAGTTGGTCAGGACGCATTGCTAGAAGCGATGATGGCCGGTGATCGAGCCTGTTTACGGAATTGCAGGCGAGAGAGGAGACTCAGATATGGAGTAATGAGATCGGCTAATGTGTTGGAGCGAAACACATTGCAGCATCACAAAACCACGAAGGATGGCGACGACATGCAGAGACCATCTAGCAGTGGACAGATCGTGGCTGATGGCATTCATGCAGTATAAAGTTGAAGGACTCCGTGTCACTGAAGGCATGGAATGCAATACTTTAAATAGATGCTGCCTCGCCACCCACCAAATATAGAAGTGGGCTGATGTCCAACAATGACTGGGCCAAGTACATCAAATTTTTAACCGTGTTAATCGGAGGTGATAATTTATCCAGATAAACCTTACTGAACTCAAGACCACACGGTTAGATTCACGAACCCACTTGCTGTACTGATATTTCTTGGCCATGGGGAGTTTTGCATTTTTGCATTATCCACCATGATCCACCAACTGTTGCCTTCACAACAACCTGCCTCCCAAAGACAAGAAACCCCGCATAAATCACAAAATCGGCACGACCACGGCTGATGGTGCCGACAATGTCACCAAGGCCCGACTAACACGTGTGAGAACGGAGGCAAGACTTTTTCCCCAACTATTTTCGTGTTATCCAATTGGTCAAGAAGTCAAGGGTAATCGATTACTTAAGTAATCGGATAGCCCATCTCTAGCACTACAGGCCTTGGAGTGGTTTCCACGAGTCCAGCGACCAGGGGAATGCTGTGGAGCGGATGGTGCGAGACTTTGGGGGGGAGGTCCTGGAGGCCGCTTGTCAACCGCGCAGAGAAGGGTCGCCCACGTTTGGCGAGGTGCGGTGGTGTGTGCGGTGGCAGCCTTTGGCCGTGACGACGTCCCGATCTTTGAGCCGCGGTGCGCGGTGGACTTGTGCCCGTCGGGACTTGTGGTGCGGGCGCAGATCTGGATCTCCAACGGCGGCACCGCGGACGTGTTCACGGTGTTCGCGCGCACGGAGGTGACGGACGCGGCGACGGGCGAGAAGAAGGACAAGATCACGGCCTTCCTCGTGGAGCGCGCGTTCGGGGGCATCACCAGCGGCAAGCCCGAGGACAAGCTGGGCATCCGTGGATCGAACAGTGCGTGCTATATAACAGTATTCATCATTATATATATCGTTATACTTTTTTCATGGGGGGGGGGGGTGGGGGGGCAGCACTTATTGCCATTGCAGTTTAACCAAAGCGATGCTGACAATAGACTTGTACATGCACGGTTCTGTATGTGCAAGTTGGCATGCAACAATGAACCATGCCTCCAGTGATTCGAGGAATTGTCACAATTCAGGGTTTCAATTATAAATATTAAAAATAATAATAGATCGTCACTCCACTCATTGTAACCGGGGCTTCATTTTCACCGGGACTGTTCCTTGTCGTCAGAAACCTGGACAATTTTCCGCACACCCGGCACACGCCATCCAGTATACCACTCGCTATGGCTGTGTCGACTTGGTTATGTGCCTCCTCCAGTCTGCCAGCGACCACGAGAATATTCAGTGAGAAATTAAGTCCGGATTGTAACAGTTCCGTTGGAATCATTTACCAATTTTTGTTGTTGTTTTGTTTGCAAGGTTGTCACACCTGCGTCTGACTTGCATGAATCGTACCTAATTCTCACACACACAACCTGTGGAATGCATCGTGCACGTAAAGAAGTGATTCCACCTGACAAATCAAAAACGCTTTTTGGGATTTTGCACACGCTCACGGGTTGCGTGCCGGCCTTTCGGGTGCCTGTCTGCCGTGACCTCGGAACTGGCGTGTGTGCGACTCTCTGGCAGCGTGCGAGGTCATGTTTGACGGAACGCCGGTGCCGCTCGAGAACGTCCTGGGGGAGGTTGGCGGAGGCTTCAAGGTCGGAATTTTTTTTAAGTTCACGCCGTAGCCGCGGCGCGTGCTGGAACGTCGTGTTCGTTCTATCGCCCGCCCATGTTCTGGTTAAGGAAAGCCTGATGTGGTGTTTCCGAGCTGCAATTTTTATAAAGGGTGGAGCGGTGGAGCAGCGGTTCACGCAGCAAGTCGTGAACCCGGTGACCTGGGTTTGGGTTCGGTTCCTGGCCACTGCTAACATCAGTGGCGTATGATATCTGAAACCAGTCCTGGATGCTCCCACAATTTACCAACCTGCAATAATCAGCATGGTTGGCTACGTACGGTGCAAAAGCAGCTGAACATACATAGTATGGTCAAAAACTGTCAACGACTAACACTGTGGAGAGGCCATCATCCAGCATTGGACTGACAAAGGGCCATGCATTTCTAATTTATGATTTTAATGTAAATAGCAATTTTGTTTGGAGAGTCGTGCATTGGTGTGGTCGGCCAATGCTGTTGATGAGTGTTCTGGCTTTGTGGGAGGAAAGCGGAGCACCTGGAGAAACCCCCCCCCCTCCCGCCCCCCCAAGCATTTGAAGGGAAAACACTCGAGAAATGCACACACGGTTTATATAGTGTTTGCTGTACTGCCATCTCCTGGTCACCTCGCAGTCCAGTGTGTTTGCGAGTCTCAAAAGAGCTGGCTTCCACTAGAGACAGTGCTAGAGAGCGTCTCTTGAGGGGTATTTGACGTTCTCTTCCATGTTGAATGTTTTTTTGTAAAAATCCCCCAGCAAATTTACTGTCCAAGCAAAATCAAGTATTTCAAAGGAATGCACCAACTGTTTTCTCAAAAGTGTAGGATTTACAGGCCATGTGCCAACTCGCATGTAGCACCGATATTTGTGAAACCAGTGTTGATATGCAGAGATGAGCAATTTTTTTTTTTAAAGGGAAATGCGCATGGCCATCGTAGGATTGGGACAGCTGTTATTTTGTCAGTTGCCGGTAATTCTAAAGTTTTAAATTAAGTATTTGAGACTGCTAGATAATGGGATTACTGATATGAAAGATTCCAAAGGTGTCTAGGGTAATGTTCCCCCAAGAATATAAACCAATATGGATGAAGCCATCGGACTGCTAGAAGCCAGCAGCTAACTGAACTTAAATAATAAAAAAACGGTGTTGTGCTCTGTCCGTAAGGGACTTGTTTTTTGCGAAGGTATCTGAACTGCTGCTCTATTTAAGACCGGGAGCAAGTGAGGGCTTCACCATTCTGGTGAATTGCCCGATGATGCTGGATGTAATTGCCAGCGAAACGTCGTACTCAAACTGTAAATGTTGTGGATTCACTCTTCAACACACCGGTGGGCTAAAGTAGTGAACTATTTGACTTTTGTCAACGTGACACTTTTTTTGCTGATTGGCCGTGTCGGGTGGTGGAGGGTTGCGACACATTTATAAATAACGTGATCTAACCCAAAACCTTTATTATGACTATCTGAACTTCCCCCCCCTGCCTCTGCCATCAGGTCGCCATGAAGATTCTGAACGGCGGTCGTTTCAGCATGGGCAGTGCCTCGGCTGGGATGCTCAAGAAGCTCATTGGCAAGTTTTGCTCGCTCGCTCGCTGTCCCGCTCTCGATCGACAGTCCCTAACCGGTTCAAATGTCACTCGCCACTAATGCTGGCCGTTACTCGGAATGAGATTCAAGTCGCCGAGTTAGCGGCTCACTGCTCTGTGTTTACCGTGGAAAATAAAGGTGAAGCCTTGTGATAGATGACAACCTGTTGCTGTTCAGCTATGCGAGATGTTTAGGGTGGTAGAGGTGATGCGGTTTAATCACGGTTTACGGTAGCACAAGCACAAAATCCCAAACAACACCGTCAAATTTATAATAGATAGGAGTTAACATGTTTATTGCATTGAGTAAGGTTATGATGAGAGCTTTGGTGAAAATATACGATTGGACAGAATTCCAAAAGGGAGCAATACAAGGGAAGAATCGGGAAGGGAAGTTTTGTAACCTGCGGTGAGTGAGTGAGAGTGTTGTTGTGACCTGTGGTGAGTGAGTGAGAATGTTGTTGTGACCTACGGTGAGTGAGTGAGAGTGTTGTTGAGACCTGCGGTGAGTGAGAATGTTGTTGAGTCCTGCGGTGAGTAAGTGAGAGTGTTGTTGTGACCTGCAGTGAGTGAATGAGAGTGTTGTTGAGACCTGCGGTGAGTGAGTGAGAGTGTTGTTGAGACCTGCGGTGAGTGAGAGTGTTGTTGTGACCTGCGGTGAGTGAGTGAGAGTGTTGTTGAGACCTGCGGTGAGTGAGAGTGTTGTTGTGACCTGCGGTGAGTGAGTGAGAGTGTTTTGAGACCTGCGGTGAGTGAGAGTGTTGTTGAGACCTGCGGTGAGTGAGAGTGTTGTTGTGACCTGCGGTGAGTGAGAGTGTTGTTGTGACCTGCGGTGAGTGAGAGTGTTGTTGTGACCTGCGGTGAGCGAGTGAGAATGTTGTTGTGACCTGCAGCGAGTGAATGAGAGTGTTGTTGAGACCTGCGGTGAGTGAGAATGTTGTTGTGACCTGCAGTGAGTGAATGAGAGTGTTGTTGAGACCTGCGGTGAGTGAGTGAGAGTGTTGTTGAGACCTGCGGTGAGTGAGTGAGAGTGTTGTTGAGACCTGTGGTGAGTGAGTGAGAATGTTGTTGAGACCTGCGGTGAGTGAGAATGTTGTTGTGACCTGCGGTGAGTGAGTGAGAGTGTTGTTGAGACCTGCGGTGAGTGAGTGAGAGTGTTGTTGAGACCTGCGGTGAGTGAGTGAGAGTGTTGTTGAGACCTGCGGTGAGTGAGTGAGAATGTTGTTGAGACCTGCGGTGAGTGAGTGAGAGTGTTGTTGAGACCTGCGGTGAGTGAGAATGTTGTTGTGACCTGCGGTGAGTGAGTGAGAGTGTTGTTGAGACCTGCGGTGAGTGAGTGAGAGTGTTGTTGAGACATGCGGTGAGTGAGTGAGAGTGTTTTTGAGACCTGCGTTGAGTGAGAGTGTTGTTGAGACCTGCGGTGAGTGAGAATGTTGTTGAGTCCTGCGGTGAGTAAGTGAGAGTGTTGTTGTGACCTGCAGTGAGTGAATGAGAGTGTTGTTGAGACCTGCGGTGAGTGAGTGAGAGTGTTTTTGAGACCTGCGGTGAGTGTGAGTGTTGTTGTGACCTACGGTGAGTGAGTGAGAATGTTGTTGTGACCTGCGGTGAGTGAGTGAGAGTGTTGTTGAGACCTGCGGTGAGTGAGAGTGTTGTTGTGACCTGCGGTGAGTGAGAGTGTTGTTGAGACCTGCGGTGAGTGAGAGTGTTGTTGAGACCTGCGGTGAGTGAGAGTGTTGTTGTGACCTGCGGTGAGTGAGAGTGTTGTTGTGACCTGCGGTGAGTGAGAGTGTTGTTGTGACCTGCGGTGAGCGAGTGAGAATGTTGTTGTGACCTGCAGTGAGTGAATGAGAGTGTTGTTGAGACCTGCGGTGAGTGAGAATGTTGTTGTGACCTGCAGTGAGTGAATGAGAGTGTTGTTGAGACCTGCGGTGAGTGAGTGAGAGTGTTGTTGAGACCTGCGCTGAGTGAGTGAGAGTGTTGTTGAGACCTGCGGTGAGTGAGTGAGAGTGTTGTTGAGACCTGCGGTGAGTGAGAGTGTTGTTGAGTCCTGCGGTGAGTGAGAATGTTGTTGTGACCTGCGGTGAGTGAGTGAGAGTGTTGTTGAGACCTGCGGTGAGTGAGTGAGAGTGTTGTTGAGACCTGCGGTGAGTGAGTGAGAGTGTTGTTGAGACCTGCGGTGAGTGAGTGAGAATGTTGTTGAGACCTGCGGTGAGTGAGTGAGAGTGTTGTTGAGACCTGCGGTGAGTGAGAATGTTGTTGTGACCTGCGGTGAGTGAGTGAGAGTGTTGTTGAGACCTGCGGTGAGTGAGTGAGAGTGTTGTTGAGACATGCGGTGAGTGAGTGAGAGTGTTTTTGAGACCTGCGTTGAGTGAGAGTGTTGTTGAGACCTGCGGTGAGTGAGAATGTTGTTGTGACCTGCGGTGAGTGAGTGAGAATGTTGTTGTGACCTGTGGTGAGTGAGTGAGAATGTTGTTGTGACCTGCAGTGAGTGAATGAGAGTGTTGTTGAGACCTGCGGTGAGTGAGAGTGTTGTTGAGACCTGCGGTGAGTGAGAATGTTGTTGTGACCTGCGGTGAGTGAGTGAGAGTGTTGTTGAGACCTGCGGTGAGTGAGTGAGAGTGTTGTTGAGACATGCGGTGAGTGAGTGAGAGTGTTTTTGAGACCTGCGTTGAGTGCGAGTGTTGTTGAGACCTGCGGTGAGTGAGAGTGTTGTTGAGACCTGCGGTGAGTGAGAATGTTGTTGTGACCTGCGGTGAGTGAGTGAGAGTGTTGTTGAGACCTGCGGTGAGTGAGTGAGAGTGTTGTTGAGACATGCGGTGAGTGAGAGTGTTGTTAAGACCTGCGGTGAGTGAGTGAGAGTGTTTTGAGACCTGCGGTGAGTGAGAGTGTTGTTGAGACCTGCGGTGAGTGAGAGTGTTGTTGTGACCTGCAGTGAGTGAGAGTGTTGTTGTGACCTGCGGTGAGTGAGAGTGTTGTTGTGACCTGCGGTGAGCGAGTGAGAATGTTGTTGTGACCTGCAGCGAGTGAATGAGAGTGTTGTTGAGACCTGCGGTGAGTGAGAATGTTGTTGTGACCTGCAGTGAGTGAATGAGAGTGTTGTTGAGACCTGCGGTGAGTGAGTGAGAGTGTTGTTGAGACCTGCGGTGAGTGAGTGAGAGTGTTGTTGAGACCTGTGGTGAGTGAGTGAGAATGTTGTTGAGACCTGCGGTGAGTGAGAATGTTGTTGTGACCTGCGGTGAGTGAGTGAGAGTGTTGTTGAGACCTGCGGTGAGTGAGTGAGAGTGTTGTTGAGACCTGCGGTGAGTGAGTGAGAGTGTTGTTGAGACCTGCGGTGAGTGAGTGAGAATGTTGTTGAGACCTGCGGTGAGTGAGTGAGAGTGTTGTTGAGACCTGCGGTGAGTGAGAATGTTGTTGTGACCTGCGGTGAGTGAGTGAGAGTGTTGTTGAGACCTGCGGTGAGTGAGTGAGAGTGTTGTTGAGACATGCGGTGAGTGAGTGAGAGTGTTTTTGAGACCTGCGTTGAGTGAGAGTGTTGTTGAGACCTGCGGTGAGTGAGAATGTTGTTGAGTCCTGCGGTGAGTAAGTGAGAGTGTTGTTGTGACCTGCAGTGAGTGAATGAGAGTGTTGTTGAGACCTGCGGTGAGTGAGTGAGAGTGTTTTTGAGACCTGCGGTGAGTGTGAGTGTTGTTGTGACCTACGGTGAGTGAGTGAGAATGTTGTTGTGACCTGCGGTGAGTGAGTGAGAGTGTTGTTGAGACCTGCGGTGAGTGAGAGTGTTGTTGTGACCTGCGGTGAGTGAGAGTGTTGTTGAGACCTGCGGTGAGTGAGAGTGTTGTTGAGACCTGCGGTGAGTGAGAGTGTTGTTGTGACCTGCGGTGAGTGAGAGTGTTGTTGTGACCTGCGGTGAGTGAGAGTGTTGTTGTGACCTGCGGTGAGCGAGTGAGAATGTTGTTGTGACCTGCAGTGAGTGAATGAGAGTGTTGTTGAGGACCTGCGGTGAGTGAGAATGTTGTTGTGACCTGCAGTGAGTGAATGAGAGTGTTGTTGAGACCTGCGGTGAGTGAGTGAGAGTGTTGTTGAGACCTGCGCTGAGTGAGTGAGAGTGTTGTTGAGACCTGCGGTGAGTGAGTGAGAGTGTTGTTGAGACCTGCGGTGAGTGAGAGTGTTGTTGAGTCCTGCGGTGAGTGAGAATGTTGTTGTGACCTGCGGTGAGTGAGTGAGAGTGTTGTTGAGACCTGCGGTGAGTGAGTGAGAGTGTTGTTGAGACCTGCGGTGAGTGAGTGAGAGTGTTGTTGAGACCTGCGGTGAGTGAGTGAGAATGTTGTTGAGACCTGCGGTGAGTGAGTGAGAGTGTTGTTGAGACCTGCGGTGAGTGAGAATGTTGTTGTGACCTGCGGTGAGTGAGTGAGAGTGTTGTTGAGACCTGCGGTGAGTGAGTGAGAGTGTTGTTGAGACATGCGGTGAGTGAGTGAGAGTGTTTTTGAGACCTGCGTTGAGTGAGAGTGTTGTTGAGACCTGCGGTGAGTGAGAATGTTGTTGTGACCTGCGGTGAGTGAGTGAGAATGTTGTTGTGACCTGTGGTGAGTGAGTGAGAATGTTGTTGTGACCTGCAGTGAGTGAATGAGAGTGTTGTTGAGACCTGCGGTGAGTGAGAGTGTTGTTGAGACCTGCGGTGAGTGAGAATGTTGTTGTGACCTGCGGTGAGTGAGTGAGAGTGTTGTTGAGACCTGCGGTGAGTGAGTGAGAGTGTTGTTGAGACATGTGGTGAGTGAGTGAGAGTGTTTTTGAGACCTGCGTTGAGTGCGAGTGTTGTTGAGACCTGCGGTGAGTGAGAGTGTTGTTGAGACCTGCGGTGAGTGAGAATGTTGTTGTGACCTGCGGTGAGTGAGTGAGAGTGTTGTTGAGACCTGCGGTGAGTGAGTGAGAGTGTTGTTGAGACATGCGGTGAGTGAGAGTGTTGTTAAGACCTGCGGTGAGTGAGTGAGAGTGTTGTTGAGACCTGCGGTGAGTGAGTGAGAGTGTTGTTGTGACCTGCAGTGAGTGAATGAGAGTGTTGTTGAGACCTGCGGTGAGTGAGTGAGAGTGTTGTTGAGACCTGCGGTGAGTGAGTGAGAGTGTTGTTGTGACCTGCAGTGAGTGAATGAGAGTGTTGTTGAGACCTGCGGTGAGTGAGTGAGAGTGTTGTTGAGACCTGCGGTGAGTGAGTGAGAGTTTTGTTGTGACCTGCGGTGCGTTGAGTGAGAATGTTGATGAGTCCTCCGGTGCGGTGAGTGAGAGTGTTGTTGAGACCTGCGGTGAGTGAGTGAGAGTGTTGTTGAGTCCTGCGGTGCGTTGAGTGAGAATGTTGAGTCCTGCGGTGCGGTGAGTGAGAGTGTTCTTGAGACTTGTGGCGAGTGAGAGTGTTGTTGAGACCTGCGGTCAGTGAGTGAGAGTGTTGTTGAGACCTGCGGTGAGTGAGTGAGAGTGTTGTTGAGACCTGCGGTGAGTGAGAATGTTGTTGTGACCTGTGGTGCGGTGAGTGAGAATGTTATTGAGACCTGCGGTGAGTGAGTGAGAGTGTTGTTGAGACCTGCGGTGAGTGAGTGAGAGTCTTGTTGAGACCTGCGGTGAGTGAGTGTTTTGTTGTGACCTACGGTGAGTAAGTGAGAGTGTTGTTAAGACCTGCGGTGAGTGAGTGAGAGTGTTAAGACCTGCGGTGAGTGAGTGAGAGTGTTGTTAAGACCTGCGGTGAGTGAGAGTGTTGTTGAGTCCTGCGGTGCGTTGAGTGAGAATGTTGTTGAGTCTTGCGGTGCGGTGAGTGAGAGTGTTCTTGAGACTTGTGGTGAGTGAGAGTGTTTTTGAGACCTGCGGTGAGTGAGAATGTTATTGAGACCTGCGGTGAGTGAGTGAGAGTGTTGTTGAGACCTGCGGTGAGTGAGTGAGAGTGTTGTTGAGACCTACGGTGCGTTGAGTGAGAGTGTTCTTGAGACTTGTGGCGAGTGAGAGTGTTGTTGAGACCTGCGGTGAGTGAGTCAGAGTGTTTTTGAGACCTGCGGTGAGTGAGAATGTTGTTGTGACCTACGGTGAGTGAGTGAGAGTGTTGTTGAGACCTGCGGTCAGTGAGTGAGAATGTTGTTGAGACCTGCGGTGAGTGAGTGAGAGTGTTTTTGAGACCTGCGGTGAGTGAGAATGTTGTTGTGACCTACGGTGAGTGAGTGAGAATGTTGTTGTGACCTACAGTGAGTGAGTGAGAATGTTGTTGAGACCTGCGGTGAGTGAGAGTGTTGTTGAGACCTGCGGTGAGTGAGAGTGTTGTTGAGACCTGCGGTGAGTGAGTGAGAATGTTGTTGAGACCTGCAGTGAGTGAGAGTGTTCTTGAGACTTGTGGTGAGTGAGAGTGTTATTGAGATCTGCAGTGAGTGAGTGAGAGTGTTCTTGAGACTTGTGGTGAGTGAGTGTTATTGAGATCTGCAGTGAGTGAGCGAGAGTGTTGTTGAGACCTGCAAGTGTGGTGGTTGAACACAACACTCCTTCCCCTTCGAGGTCAAGACTTCCGAGACACTTTACAAATCTTAAAATCTCGACTAAAATGTATCTGTTTAAAATGGCTTTCTCTCTTTAGATAATTTTCAAACGTCTTTCTCACTTCATCTTTCTGCCTTGCCATGCATAGCGCCCTGAGAACGATTGTTTAAGGGCACTTGATAAATTTAAATTATTATGATTATGACATTATAGATGAGATGAAACAGTCTGGTAAACAGAATCCTCAACATCGGTGGAGGAATCGGTTTAGTGAAGTTCACGGGCGCAGCAGTAGCCACGGTCGTCGCGATAGACGGATGGTATGGAGGCGACTGACCACCGGTGATCAAGTGAGTGCTGGATCATCGTTCATCCTGACTGCGTTACGTTGAATTCTGTCACGTGCAGCCAGGTCAGAACTGGGTGCTCCACTCCAGATATTACAACAGCAGGATTTTAACTTTGGCCGAAGTTGTGCTTTAGATCGGAGTAGTAAGTGTTCAGAGTTAAGTGTTAGAACCAAATAAGTCATGCTGTAACCTTTAGTGGACCGTCTTCAGAAGCGATATAGTCATTCATTCGGTGGCTCAGTCGTTGGTCGGTCTGAGGGCTGTTTAGTCGATTGGTTGGTCAGTCCGATGGTCATTCGGTCCCCGATGGTCAGACACTCCGATAGTTGCCTGGGCTTCCCTCTGATGCTCCTCCCTTTCCTTCCCATCAGCAATGTGCGCGGAGTACGCGTGCAGCAGGAAGCAGTTCAACAAGCGGCTGAGCGAGTTTGGGATGATTCAGGTGAGAACGAAATGGCCACTCCACTGTATCAAGTATCTAAGCTGGGACTCGCGTCTCCCTCGTGTGGGTTTTAAAACCCCACCTTTTGCTCTGCAGACCGAACGGGTGCCACTGCCACGTGCCGTGATTGCAGTGCTCAGCGGCAGACGTTTTATTATCAGCCGTTCATTCAGTTACCCTTAATATTAACATGAGAGTGCACGCTTATTGGAGAATTAGGTGTTGAACTTTTTTCGCACCATATGTAACCAACAGCGCTAATCGGAGGTGTGGGGGAAGGACAGCACACTAAATACAAAACGCAGAATTGAGAAGCCTGCATGGGTTTAAGTGACCAGGTAACCACAGGGGTCATAGGGTTCGGGTAGCCAGACTGTTAACAGAGTGGGGGGTGCTCACAATGTGTCCTGGTTGAACCTTCCAGAACTTTCATAACTTCAACTCTACCCTGCCCGTGCCGTGCTTCCTTGCAGGAGAAGTTTGTGAACATGACGGTGAAGGCGTACGTGATGGAGAGCATGGCGTACCTCACTGCGGGCATGATGGACCGGCCGGGAGAGCTCGACTGCTCTGTGGAGGCTGCCATGGTCAAGGTTGTTATTATAATGATGATGATTGTTCACCCAGTGAAGCCTCACCGAGTTGAATGACTTTTTCAGGAGAGTTTTTCCATAATAGGCGGTGATGATTGCCACGCACATTCAAATTAAAATGTGCGGGTAATCTTTCAAAGGTGGAAAAGTTGGACCATGATGCCGGCACACAATGGGCTACTCTTGTGAGTCACATCACGGGATCTTCAGGTTGTGCGCAGAATTAATAAACGTTATAAACGTTACTGCATTGCTTTGTTGAAGTATTGTTCCCAAGGGCCTCTCGTTTGGCTTTAAATAAAACGAATGTAGGAATCATGGCCTCGATCATGTTGGCCAATGCGTTGCAATCTGGTTCATGCAGAGTTATAATACAACACGGATTTATTTTGCGACTTAACGTGACTGCATCGCAAGTCGCTGTACAGGAACAGTGGGCATATTTAATTTGTCGGTCGCCTGCCCCTGCACTCGCGCGGAGGGGCAGGCAGTCGACAGCACAGTGGGCTGAAGAGGGGGAGCTCCAGGCTATGAGGACGGCAAAAAAAACACCGAGTGACCTCCCACTGGGCAAATATTAACTATTGGGGGCTTTTCATAGACATAGAAACCCTTGTTTGTTGGTGCAGAGAGTGTGTGGAGTGGAGTGAGGCGAGATGTAGGAGAGCAGGAGTAGAGTTGAGATGAGAGGGGGGAGGTTGGAGAGTTCGTGGGGTGGAGTTAGGTGAGAGGGGAGAGGTAGGAGAGCACATGGAGGGGAGTAAAGTGAGATGAGAGGGAATAGGTAGGAGAGTGTGTGGAGTGGAGTGAGAGGGGAGAGGTAGGAGAGCACATGGAGGGGAGTAGAGTGAGATGACAGGAGAGAAGGTAGGCTAGGGCGAGCCCTTGGAGAACTTTGAAGATGGTGAGTGCAATTTTTTAACTGATCCAGGATTGTATTGGGAAAGAGCGGCGCGATTGGAATAGAGGGATAATGCAGTCTTGCCTATGTGGTGCGGAGTCCGGATCGCGGTGAAATCACAACGCGGCGCGTCTCCTCCTGCGACACCAGGTGTTCAGCTCGGAGTGCGCGTGGGAGTGCGTGAGCGAGGCGCTGCAGATCCTGGGAGGCCTCGGCTACACCAAGGACTACCCGTACGAGCGCTACCTGCGCGACGCACGCATCCTCCTTATATTTGAGGTCAGGCCAGACGCACCGGTCATATTTCTTCGTCCGTTTAGTTGATCTACTGCTGCACCATGTGCTTGCTTTCTTCTTGCCGGTATTTCCCCCACCGGTCGGGGTGGGGAGCTGTATTCCTCGTCCTCCTCCACTCATTTCTGTCCTGGGCCATCATCTCCACATCCACTCCGCAGTCCTTCACATATTGGTTCACCGCTCCGTACCACCTCTTTGTAGACCGGACCCATCATCAACTCTCTCCTTCCGATGTGCTTTTCCTCTTCATCATGCGACATGGCCTAGCCATTGATTATCTTTATGCTTTTCCGAGATGGGTATCCTTGGCTCTTCAATTTATGACACACTCCAGCCGAGCGATTGTTGTCCTTGTACTAAACATTCAGAGTACATCTCTGTCAATCCCTTATCAGTGCCGACCTTATTACAGACCTTACTGGTCACCCGTGCCCTTATAAATCTCAACGTTCATCCTACAAAGTCCCATCAAAATTGAGAAACACAAACAAATCGACAATAATGACTTTGTTTCCCGTATTGAAGCGACTGTATGCCTTATGGACCTGAAAACTACATTTCCCTGTAAAAGAATACGGGTAAAGCGTATGGGTTGACAGGTATGAGAGTATAGCAATAATGGCATTTGTTTGACTATAAAATCCCCAGTGACTTGTCATACTGTTCATCAGTATTGTTTTGCATTGAAAACGAATTGTACCTGGAGAAAACCCATGCATAGCACTCAAAAGTCCACATTGATGGGTTCATGAGCTCACTTGCTGGTACATTTGGAGCCCAGTGGGTTTTGGGAGTTTCACGAACCTCTATGCGATCCACCAACCCCCTGCACCCCAAGTACTGAATCACAGGCATTTACCACCAACCACCACTACATGACGCTCTTGTCGCATACATTTCCACAATACATTTTTTGTCCCAAATCAACAGGGCACCAATGAAGTTCTGCGGATGTCACTGCTCTGTCGGGCATTCAGTACGCGGGAAAGATCATGACGGACAAAGTCAAGTGAGTGTGAACGTTTAACTTGAGTGCAACGGCAACCGACTTTTAACTCTGCATCATCGCCAGCTATCGTGTACACAACCGCATTTGGCAAATTTCGGGGCTACGGATTCTTCTGGCGTATTCTGGGTCCTCTTTATGTCTTCCCTGTGTGTTCACTTGAAGATTTTCCTTCGACTGCATCTTCACATGAGGTTATGAGTACATTGCAAGCTCAAAACAGACCAGGTTTAAAATAAAACTCACAACAACCACTCCGACTATCCCCTTTATATTTGTTCATCTTTCGTGCATTAGAATCAAAGTTTCGCCACTTATACTAGTTATGTGCAAATACAGTGAGGGAAAAAAGTATTTGATCCCCTGCTCAATTTTTTACGTTTGCCCACTGACAAAGAAATGATCAGTCTATAATTTTAATGGTAGGTTTATTTGAACAGTGAGAGACAGAATAACAACAAAAAAATCCAGAAAAACACATGTCAAAAATGTTATAAATTGATTTGCATTTTAATGAGGGAAATAAGTCTTTGACCCCCTCTCAATCAGAAAGATTTCTGGCTCCCTGGTGTCTTTTATACAGGTAACGAGCTGAGATTAGGAGCACACTCTTAAAGGAAGTGCTCCTAATCTGAGCTTGTTACCTGTATAAAAGACACCTGTCCACAGAAGCAATCAATCAGATTCCAAACTCTCCACCATGGCCAAGACCAAAGAGCTCTCCAAGGATGTCAGGAACAAGATTATAGACCTACACAAGGCTGGAATGGTCTTGTAGCCCACAAGACCATTGCCAAGCAGCTTGGTGGGAAGGTGACAACAGTTGGTGCGATTATTCGCAAATGGAAGAAACACAAGAACTGTCAATCTCCCTCGGCCTGGGGCTCCATGCAAGATCTCACCTCGTAGAGTTGCAATGATCATGAGAACGGTGAGGAATCAGCCCAGAACTACACGTGAGGATCTTGTCAGTGATCTCAAAGCAGCTGGGACCGTAGTCACCAAGAAAACAATTGGTAATGCACTACTCCGTGAAGGACTGAAATCCTGCAGTGCCCGCAAGGTCCCCCTGCTCAAGAAAGCACATATACATGCCAATCTGAAGTTTGCCAATGAACATTTGAATGATTCAGAGGACAACTAGGTGAAAGTGTTGTGGTCAGATGAGACCAAAATGGAGCTCTTTGGCATCAACTCAACTCGCCGTGTTTGGAGGAGGAGGAATGCTGCCTATGACCCCAAGAACACCATCCCCACCGTCAAACATGGAGGTGGAAACATTATGCTTTGGGGGTGTTTTTCTGCTAAGGGGACGGGACAACTTCACCGCATGGACGGAGCCATGTACCGTCAAATCTTAGGTGAGAACCTCCTTCCCTCAGCCAGGGCATTGAAAATGGGTCGTGGATGGGTATTCCAGCATGACAATGACCCAAAACACATGGCCAAGGCAACAAAGGAGTGGCTCAAGAAGAAGCACATTAAGGTCCTGGAGTGGCCTAGCCAGTCTCCAGACCTTAATCCCATAGAAAATCTGTGGAGGGAGCTGAAGGTTCGAGTTGCCAAACGTCAGCCTCGAAACCTTAATGACTTGGAGAAGATCTGCAAAGAGGAGTGGGACAAAATCCCTCCTGAGATGTGTGCAAACCTGGTGGCCAACGTCTGACCTCTGTGATTGCCAACAAGGGTATTGCCACCAAGTACTAAGTCATGTTTTGCAGACGGTTCAAATACTTATTTCCCTCATTAAAATGCAAATCAATTTATAACATTTTTGACATGCGTTTTTCTGGATTTTTTTGTTGTTATTCTGTCTCTCACTGTTCAAATAAACCTACCATTAAAATAATATACTGATCATTTCTTTGTCAGTGGGCAAACGTACAAAATCAGCAGGGGATCAAATACTTTTTTCCCTCACTGTAGACAGGTAGTGCAGTGGTTAGTGTACTGCGCTATGAAACCCAGCCGCATGAGTTAAATTCCCTGCCGTGGTTTACTTCACTGGCAAGTGATATCCGAACCAATCCCGAGTCCCTCCCTTCACCAAATCGCACTGACCCAAGGTTGTGAAGTACAGTCAAACAACCTTCACATTTGACCAACGTAACATGGGGAGCATTCATCCAGCAGTCTATTAACAAAAGCCTAGGAATTGTGGAAATTAACGTATTGACGGTAGACCGGTCGTGCGTGGTATAAAAAAAGCCATTTTTTTTGCAATAATTATTTAGTTTCCTGCAAATTGCAACCCCGGTCAGAAAATCTTGTGGAGTGGTGGTGCGTCAAAAATCAGTTCTCGTGATGTCAAAGCAGTCGGAAGATGAATGTTAGTTAAAATATTGATTTTAGATGGTGTTTATGAGGACTGGTGTGTTATGCTGCACCGGTGTACCGCCAATACGCTTTTGGTACATTCAGGATAATGTGTCGTGAGTTTAAATATGTACAGTAACTGATGAATCGATGCATTGTTCCACCTCTGAACAAACAGTACTTTGCAAATATTGGCTCTGTAGTTGTCGTGCTCTTGACAGTTTTCATGATCAGTGGAGTACGTAACTCGTGCATGCGTGTGACTGCGGCAGTGTGGGGAGCGGTAAGTGTAGCCGTTAACGCGCTGCGCTATGAATTAAATGGCTGGAGTTAGATTCCTGCTTACGGCCAAATGAGTACCTGATGCGGTGTGTATACATCACTACTCTTTGGTTCTTCGGTAAAGTCACTAGGTATAAATACAACAAAATAAATTAAAATCCCGACGTTTCGGGCGCAACACAAGCGTCCGTCATCAGGTGGGACAAACACAGCAATAAACAATTGCTGAAGTGGGAAAAAGGGCTGCCGTAACAAGAGGCTATATAGGTAAGAGAGGGGGGGGAGGAGCCATGGAGGAGAGAGAGAGAGGGGGGTAGGGGGAGTGGAGCGCTGCCGAGTGAAGAGCAGCTAGAAGGGATTAAGGGGCGAGCACGACAAAATGTTGGGGGGGGGGGGAGTGGGCGGGGCTGGGAGTGGGAGGTTGAGAGAAACTGGAGATGCGGATATGAAGGCAACACCATAAAAGCATTTAAGGTTTACCTGGTTAATAACATCCTTCGAATAATTGCTAAATTTGTATCCATCTTCTCGGTGAAGTTATGTCTTTGTTTATATATCTGGATGGCGTCATGAACAAACCTTTGAGATAGCCCGAAGGTTTGCAGAGTACCTTGGTCTCGGAAAAAAACAATTATCATGAGAGCCCCACAGCGTTATAGCAATGGTCAGCCACGGCGGAGGTATTAGTGCTGCCGTGTTTCAGATCGCCTTGTGTTCGCGAACACGGTCCGAGACATGTCCGTTTCGTTTCCCCAATGTGACAATCACCACAGGTGCAACTTAGTTTGTAGACTCCAGGATATTGCATGTCAGGAATGACATCCTTACAGATGGTATTAGATCACGGATTTTGTGTACTGTACTGAATCGGACCTGGATCTTGTGTTTGTTTAAGATTTTGGAATTTTTTTTGGTAACGCCTGCTATGTATGGTAATGCGATTGGTTTTGATTGGCGTCTCAGGGGGTTGTTTCTCCATGGTTGGAGAAACAGATTTGC